GGGTGAACGCAGCTGTCGTGGACCCTGGAGTGGACGTGCCAGGCTGTCCCAGGCCCTGGAGTGGGTGAACGCAGCTGTCGTGGACCCTGGAGTGGTCCTATGAAGGTGTTCCCAGTGTGTGCACTGGGCCTCTCCACACCTGGACCAGAATTTCTGACATGGAATCCTGGTGCAGGTGCATCGCGTAGACGAACTGTAAGCCTGCTCGCTTTTTACCTTCTGAGCTGTGAGGCGAGATGGTGTCTGACCACGCGGCCTCTGCTCCTCCATCCTGGGGACTTGGCTGTGAATGATGGGAGACCTCATTCCTCACCCAGGTCGAGGCCAGGGCTAGGCCCAGGCACATGCTCAGACGCCCCGTCCTGAGCCTGTTGGTCCAGCTGGAGGACAAGTCAGCCAATTGCGCACTCTAGACTTTTCGTGTTCATAACCAGCAACTGCATGCAGTAGGGACACAGAACAAAGGGCCCAACACTCAGAAACGAGTGGTAGCAAGGCCAGACTGGAGTCAGGGGGGAGGTGGGGATTGTGTATGGAGTTGGGGAGCACACCAGGTGTGAGGGACCCTGGACAGTGGGACAGGGTAGAAGGCAGGCCCGACCAGCCCCAGGCCTCCCGTCATTGTGGACTTGGGGGCACACAGTGCGGCAGGGAGTGTGCCAGCTACCAGTGACCCCACAGTGCCCCCTGGTGCATCTTGGTATTCCCCCTCCTGAAGTAGGCGTGTGTAGGCTCATCCCAGCTGGTTTGGTTTGGAAATGCACTCCCATGAGGCCGGTTGTTGGCAGTGTGCAGAGGAAGAGCGTCTGCTTTATTCTTCCTGGTGGGCACTCAGTGCTGGCTTTCTCACTTCCTGGTGGCCGGGCAGCAGGAAACCTTATCCGAAGGAGTCCGGGCATAGGACAGGCTTCCCCAGGCCCAGGCCGTCACCGAAGGGAGAAAAGTCATTCTGACCTGTAGGGGGAGCCACAGCCTTGCACCAGACACGAAGATGGCATGAGAGAGATGGGGCTGGGGGTTTTGTGCCTTAGACAGGTGGTGAGGGCCCTGAGCCCGGGGATGGCCAGGTGGGGACTAGCGAGGCCTCCCAACTAAGGGGACGTGAGGGACTGGAGGGGAGAAGGTGGGAGCCCAGAAGATCCTGACCTGAGGGTGGTGGGCTGTGACAAGAACCTGGGATCCCACCTCCCCTCATGCTTCCTGTCCCCGCAGGTCAGCGCCAATGGAAATGTGCTGCGCAGTGAGATCGTGGGCTCCATCAAAATGCGGGTTTTCCTGTCGGGCATGCCGGAGCTGCGCCTGGGCCTCAATGACAAGGTGCTCTTCGACAACACAGGCCGTGAGTACTGGGCCGGAGCTGCAGCTGTGTGGAGGGTGGAGACCCTGTGGTGAGACCACTGCTGTGTCCATCCGGGGCCTGGAAGCAACGTGCTCCTCGGGGAGGGCAGAGCAGGCGTCCTGGGGTCCCGGCCTCACCACCACTCCCACCTGGGGGGCATTCCCACATTACGGCATAGTCAGGGCAGAGGGGAGACTGAATCAGGTAGGTTACTCACGGATGAGCAGAGTCATGACCAGGTCTGTCATGGTGCCTAGGAGCAGCAAGGGGGACCCAGGGGTCTGCTCTGCCAGGGTCGACCAGGGTGGGAGCTCTGCTGAGAATCTGTCCTGCGCTGGGCCGCCCTCACCAAGCCCCAACCCCTGTAGGTGGTAAGAGCAAGTCAGTGGAGCTGGAGGACGTGAAGTTCCACCAGTGCGTGCGGCTCTCGCGCTTTGAGAACGACCGCACCATCTCCTTCATCCCGCCCGACGGCGAGTTTGAGCTCATGTCCTACCGCCTCAACACCCATGTGAGTCAGCTGATTCCAGAGCCAGGGAGACCCATTAAGGAGGCCCAGATGCTGAGGACCAGCACAGGTCCTAGTGCCTGAGCCCTGTGCCCCTACCTTGCAAGGGCAGTGAGGCTGAGAGCCCACCAGAGCAGGCCTGTAGGGACTCGGGTCTGGGAGTGAGGACCCTGTGAGAGACCTACCCCTTAATGCCCAGGTGCTGGCAGTGGGTGGTGTGGTAGGGGAGAGTGGGCACTGCTCTGGGACTCTGGGAAACTCGGCCAGCTGTGAGTGTGGCCTTCACTCCCCTGACAGGTGAAGCCCCTGATCTGGATTGAGTCTGTCATCGAGAAACATTCGCACAGCCGCATTGAGTATATGATCAAGGTGCCTGCCCGGGTGCGGGGTGCTCTGACTCGAGAGGGGCCTAGAATAGCGGGAGGGCGGTGTTATACCCACCCCTCCCCTGCAGCTGGGCTTGTTCTAGCCCTGGATGTGTGTTCTCCATGGGAGAGCCTGTGTGAAGGAACACCCGCAAGTCCTAGGTGGGGCGCTGGGCTGGCAGGAGGGCTTCCTCCAACCCGAGAGGACGGGGCAGTCCATGTGGGGAACCTCAGGGGCCATGCCTCCTCACTCAGGCCAAGAGCCAGTTCAAGCGACGATCAACGGCCAACAATGTGGAGATCCACATCCCCGTGCCCAATGATGCGGATTCACCCAAGTTCAAGACCACCGTGGGCAGCGTCAAGTGGGTGCCGGAGAACAGCGAGATCGTGTGGTCCATCAAGTCCTTCCCGGTGAGGTTCCTGCAAGGGCTGGGCTTAACTAACTACAGCAGCAAGAGCTGGTGGTTCAGGTGGCCAGGCCGAGTCAGGTGGAGCTGCTCTCCCTCAGAGAAGTCCCTGGCAGGAGCTGGTGTCCCCGTGCTGTCTGCCTGCTCCCCACATCAGCAGTGTCTTGGTTCTCCAGTGCTGTTGTAGTCTCACAGCCTCAGTGCTGGCTCCAGGGTGACCTGCATGTGGTCTGCCATCTCTCTTCCCCATCTCTCCTCAGCACACTCCGTCCTTAGTCCTGTGTCCTCAACATGACACTGATAGCCTGTCCCCTAAAGGGCTCATCACCACAGTATAGGGGGGAGGACTCATACTCATCTTCATACTCTCAGGGAAACAAGTCAATCCATAGCAGGTGATAAATGTCCTCAACCTGGGGAACCCAGAGAGCTGCTGATGAGATGACCCCTTCAGTGCAGCGACATGGGCTTTGGAATTGGCTCTACCTGCTCAGAAAGTAGTTTCATCTCCTATGTCTGACTGCGTCCTCTGGGATGGGGCTGATGGCCATGCTGAGCTGCTGCTCCACACAGGCTCCTGGGCACTCGATGCTTTCCCTCTGCTCTCTGTCTCTCTCTTTGTGTCCGGCTCTCTCATCTCCGTGTCTCCCTTTCCCTCTGCTCTCTGTCTCTCTCTTTGTGTCTCTGGCTCTCTCATCTCAGTGTCTCCCTTTCCCTCTGCTCTCTTTCTCTTTGTGTCTCTGGCTCTCTCACCTTGGTGTGTCCCTTTCCCTCTCTTCTCTTAGTGTCTGTCTCCTTCTCTGTGTCTCTCTTCCTCCTCCCCTCCCTCTCTATTTCAGTCTGGATCCCAGAGATCTCTAAGGACAGCCCCAACTGGAACATGCAGTAATTCAAATGCCAGAATTTTTTTCCTGTGTGTTCATGTTTTCCCTCAATATGAAAGATCAGCAGTTTGAAGCCCCTAGTCACTGTGGGAGAAAGATGTGGTGGTTCGCTCTGTAAAGATTACAGCCTTAGGACCATACGAGGTAGATCTCTGCACTTTGAGTCAGAATTGACTTGATGGCAACAGATTTGATCATTTTACAGAAAATCTTGAAAATAGAGAAAAAGAGAGACAAACCTATTATTTCACTGCTGTCAGACAACACCGTTTGCCTTTTGGCATAGTGCACTTGAACCTGTCTTTCCTGTGCCATTTTGTCTTCTGTAGTTGTACTATAGTGGTTCTGCACTGGTTTCCAAGATGCTAAGTGTCCTCTAGCAGCCATCACTCGCTGTAAGTATTCCAGAACATTTCATTGTGCTCATGAGGAATCTGTACCTGGACCAACAGGCAGTTTAAACAGAACATGGGAACACTCAAGGGTTTAACATAAGAAAGGTGTGAGACAGGGGTGTATTCTTTCACCATACCTATTCAACCTGTATGCTGAGCAAACAATATGAGAAGCTGGGTTCTATGAAGAAAAACATGGCATCAGGATTGGAGGAAGACTCATTAACAACCTGTGATATGTAGATGATACAACCTTGTTTCCTGAAAGTGAAGAAGACTTAAAATACTTACCTGATGAAGATCAAAGAGCACAGCCTTCGGTGTGGATTGCATCTCAATGTAAAGAAAACAAAAATCCTCACCATTGGATCAATAAACAACATTCTTTATCAGTGGAGAAAAGATTGAAGTTGTCAAGGACTTCATTCTTCTTGGATCAACACTCATGGAAGCAGAAGTCAAGAAATGGCGTATTGCATTAGGCAAATCTGCTGCACAAGACCTTTTGAAAGTGTTGACGAGGAAAGATGTCAGCTTAAGGACTAAGATGCACCTGACCCAAGCCATGGTGTTTTCAATAACCTCATATGCATGCGAAAGCTGGACAGTAAATAAGGAAGACTGTAGAAGAATTGATGCATTTGAGTTACGGTGTTGGAGGAGAATATTGCAAGTACCATGGGCTGCCAAAAGAACCAACAGATCTGTGTTGGAAGAAGTGCAGCCAGAGTGCTCCTTGGAAGGCAGGATGGCCAAACTTTCTCTCTCATACTTCGGATATATTGTCAGTAGGGGCCAGTCGCTGGAGAAGGATATCATGATTAGTAAGGTGGAGGTTCAGAGAAAAAGAGGAAGACCCCCAGCAAGATGGATTGGCCAAGTGGCAGCATCAATGGGCTCAAGCGTGGCAACAATTGTGAGGTTGGCATAGTATTGGGCAGTGTTTCTTTCTGTTGTGCATAAGGTCCCTATGAGTCAGTACCAACTCAGTGGCACCTAACAACAACAACAACTTTTTTGGAGATAGCTCATCCACAGTTATATTTTGAGTGCTTTCCAACTTGAGGGCCTCATGTTCCAGCACTGTATTTGACAATGTTCCACTGCTGTTCATAAGGTTTTCCATGGCTAAACATTCAGAAGCATCCCTTCACCTTTTTCCTAGTCTTAGTTTGGGAGCTTATACTGAAGCCTGTCCACCATGGGTCACCCTGCTGGTATTTAAAATACCAGTGGCATAGCTTCCAGCATGACAGCAACATGCAAGCCACCACAGTACGACAAACGGACAGACTAGTGGTGGACATGCATATGATGAGGTCATTGAAAATGCTATGGCCTGTGTCAGGCACACCTTAGTCCTCAAACTGACATCTTTGCTTGTTAGCACTTTAAAGCGGTCTGGGGCAGCGGATTTGCCTAATGCAGCGCATCTTTGATCTCTTGACTGCTGCTTCCGTGAACATTGATTGTGTAGCCAAGTAAAATGAAATCCTTGTCAAGTTCGATCTTTTCTCCGTTTATCATGATGCTGCTATTGGTCCATTTGTGAGGATTTTTGTTGTCTTTATGCTGAGGTGTAATCTGTACTCGATGCTTGTAGTCTTTGAACTTTTATCAGTAAGTGGATTAAGTTTTCAGCAAGCAAAGTTCTCTCTTCTGCATATTAGAGGTCATTAATGAGTCCTCCTCCAATCCTGTTGCCACGTTCTTGGTCATCTAATCCGCCATTCATCTGTCCATTTGTCATACTGTGGTGGCTTGCATGTTGCTACGATTGTTTTGTTGTTAAGTGCCGTCGAGTCGGTTCCGACCCATAGCGACCCTGTACAGGGTTTCCGAGGGTGTAAATCTTTACGGGAGTAGAAAGCCTCATCTTTCTCCCGCGGAGCGGCTGGTAGTTTCGAACCGCTGACCTTAAGGTTCGCAGCCCGATTCGTAACCACTACGCTACCAGAGCTCCTTTGTTGCTATGATGCTGGAAGTTATGTCACTGGTGTTTTGCATACCAGCAGGATCACCCATCGTAGACAGATTTCAGCAAAACTTCCAGACTTAAGAGAGAAGGAAGAAGGGTGGCGCTAGCAATCCACTTTAAAAAAAATCGGCCAGTGAAAACCTTATGGATGGCAGCAGAGCACTGTCTGATATCCTGTCTGAAGATGAGGCCCTCAATTGGAAGGAGCACAAAATACAACTAGGGAAGAGCTGCCCCACAAAGTACTCTTATCTTAATAACGTGGATGGGGTAACATTTTTCGCAGCCTTCCTTTGTTGATTGGACATGACTGAAAATGAGAAGGTCTAAAACTAAGAAAATCGCAAGTCATCAATAATGAAATGGAACAATTGAAGATCACTATGAAGAAAAACATGGCATCAGGATTGGAGGAAGACTCATTAATAACATGCAATATGCAGATGATACAACCTTGATCGCTGAAAGTAAAGAGGACTTGAAACATTTACTTATGAAGATTAAAGAGCACAGCCTTCGATATGGATTACATCTCAATGTCAAGAAAACAAAAATCCTCACCACTGGACCAATAAACAACATTCTTATCAATGGAGAAAAGATTGAAGTTGTCAAGGACTTCATTCTTCTTGGATCTACTATCAACACTCACGGAAGTAGCAGTCAAGAGATCAGACGACGTATTGCACTGGGCAAATCTGCTGCAGACGACGTATTGCACTGGGCAAATCTGCTGCACAGGAACTTTTTAAAGTGTTGAAGAGTAGAGATGTCAGCTTGAGGACTAAGGTGCGCCTGACCCAGGCCATTGTGTTTTCAGTAGCCTCATATGGATGCGAAAGCTGGACAGTGAATGAGGAGGATCGTAGAAGAATTGATGCCTTTGAGTTGTGGTGTTGGAGGAGAATACTGAAAGTGCCATGGACTGCCAAAAGAACCAATAGATCTGTTTTGGAAGAAGTGCAGCCAGAGTGCTCCTTGGAGGCCAGGATGGCTAAGCTTCGTCTCTCCTACTTTGGACATATTGTCCGGAGGAAACAGTCGTTGGAGAAGGATGTCATGCTGGGTAGAGTGGAGGGTCAGAGAAAAAGAGGAAGATCCCCAGCGAGATGGATCAGCCAGGTGGCATCATTGATGGACTCAAGTGTGGCAGCGGTAGTGAGGTTGGCCCAGGATCGAACATTGTTTCGTTCTGCTGTGCATGGGGTCGCTATGAGTCGGTTCCGACTCGATGGCAGCTGACAACAACAACAACATGTTAGGCATTAATGAGCTGAAATGGACTGCCATTGGCTTGGACAGTTGTGTGCTCTACTGTGCTGGGAATGACAAATTGGAGAAATGGACGGCATTGCATTCAGTGTCCAAAAAAACCTTAGGACCTGTCTAAAGTACAACACTGTCAATGATAGGATCATGTGCATGTGCCCACAAGGAAGGCCAGCTAGTACCAGTATTATTCAAATGTAAGCATCAATTTCCGCAGAAGAAAGATGAGGCTTTCTGCTCCAGTAAAGAGTTACAGCCTCAGAAATCCTGTACAGGGTCATTGTGAGTCAGAACCGACTCTACCACTTGTGCCAAAGGTGACAAAATTGACAGTTTTTACCAGCGTCTGCACTCTGAAATTGTGATCAAACATGCAGTCACTCTGCATTGATAATTAGTGGTGATTGGGATGTAAAAGGTGAAAATGAGGAAGAACCAGTAGTTGAAAGTGTGACCTTGATGACAGTATTTGCTGTAATTGCTCTGTATTCTTGTGTACCTTTTGTCTTGGTCTTGTTGTGTAACTTCCCCCATGTTGTGTCTTAACCACCACCAGCATTACTGTGTCTGGTGTGCCATGTAGGATAAAGCACTAATACAATGTTGGGTTGAACCACAAGGTTGGCAGTTCAAACTCACCAGCCACGCCTCAGAAACCCTGTGTAGGTCGCTGTGAGTCGGAACTGACTCGACAGCACTTAACCACAGCAGCACTATCTAGTAAGTGATTTTCTTTCCCTTCCCCTCCCATCCCTGGTGTCCATCAAAGAATGTTTCTTTCTGTGTGTGACCCTATTCATGACTGTTTATAATAGTGATCTCAATATTTGTCCTTTTGTGATTGACTTGCTTCACTCAGTGTCCTGTTCTCCAGATTGATCTACGTTGTGAGATGTTTCATGGATTCATTATTATTCATCATAGTTGCATAGTATTCTATTGTGTGTGTGTGCACCACAATTTGTTTATCCATTCATCAGTTGATGGATTCTTGGGTTATATCCGTCTGTTTGCCATTGTGAAAAATACAGCAGTGAACATGGGTATACATTTGTCCGTTCGTATTACAACTTTGTTTCTCTAAGATCTATACCTGGATCCTATGGGATGTATGTTTCTAGCTTTTTAAGGAAACACCATTTTCCTTAGTGGTTGAACCATTTTACAAGCAGTGTATGAGAGTTCCAGTCTCTCAGCAACCTTGCCAGCAGATGTTGTTTTCTGATTTTCTATCTGTGCATTTAATGCCTAGGTGAAGCAGTATCTCAGTATACTGTTTTGATTCGCATCTGTGTGGTGGTGAATGACCTCAGGCATTTCTTCATGTAATTGTTAGCCACAAGTATGTCTTACTTGGTGGTCTGTTCATGTCCTTTGCAGCTGTTTTTTTGATTAGGTTGTTAGTCTTTTTGTTGTTGAGGTGTTGAAGTTTTCTAACTATATTAGATATTAGTCCCTTGTCAGATGCGACATTTCCAAAATTCTCTTTGTACAGGCTTTCTTTTACTCTTTTTGGTGATGTCTTTTGATGAGCATACATGTTTTATTTTTAGGAGGTTTGAATTACCTAGCTTGTCTTCTGCCGTTTGTGCATTTTTAGATGTCTTTGATAGTCTGTTTGCCATAGGTCAGCGGTCCCCTAGTTCTGTCCCTGTTTTTTCTTCCGTGAACTTTTTACAGTTTTAGGTTTAAGATTTAGATCTTTGATCCATTTTGAGTTAGTTTTTGTGTATGGTGTGAGGTGTGTGCTGGATAGGGCGAACTGTTTGCTCTTGGCTGCTAACAAAAGATTGGCAATTGAGATGCACCACCAGCAGCACCATGGAAGAAAAGCCTGGCTGTCTCCTCCTGTCAGATTAACCACGAGTTGTCAGTGAGTTGATTCTAATCCGTGGCAGCTTCATGTGTTGAGATGCAAATCACCAGGCCGTTCTGCTGAGGTGTCTCCAGTAGTTAACCATTTGTGCCACCCAGGGGCTCCTCTGTGAGATTGCAGCCATTGAAAACCATGAAGCAGTTCTGCTCTGTTGCACATGGAGCCACCGTGGGAATGGGTTCACAGTGAGGACTCTACAAGGAGCTTCTGAAGTCTCACTTCCCTCCCCGTCCCTCTCCTGCTTAGATGGACTTTGGGGTGTGTGTGTGTCACTGGTTTTCCTTGCTTACCTGGAGGGCAGTAGCAGCTATACTGTTCTTTACCTTTTTCTCTCAGCCATTCAGGATGTTCCTTCTTGCAGCTGTGTGGTGTGGGCTCTGTGGTTGTGTCTGGGATCCAAGTCTCTTGGGCTCCTGGAGGTGTGGCTACAGGGCAGGTGTCAGCACAGAGCTGAGACGCAGTCAGGCGCCTTCCCTCCCCCTCCCCCCTGGTAGGGCTTGCCCAGGTCTGCCAGTGTCGCCAGCAGAGCTGTTGCCGTACTGTCAGTCATCAGGAACAAGACTGAGCCACTTGTTTGGTGTCTCCAGGCCACTTGTGGGTTTTGTAGACTGGCGTCTTGTGCATTTCCTGTCCAGTTTGGTCCTTTTCTCCGTGTCCAGGAGCTCGCTCTGTACCCACAACCGGAGCGCTTTTCCTTTGCTGTCGGTCATCCTAAGGCTGGGTGCAGGGTGGCCTCCCTGCCTCCTGCCCAGGGTCAGTCGTTTCTCTTCTCCTTGGGAGCCTGAGAATGTGCTGCGCTTCCCAGGGTGGTCTCCTGGCATGTCTCCTCTGTCCTACCCACTAGGAACTGTAGAGAAGGGGTGGCTGCTGGGCTTGGGAGCATGAAGGACTGTGGGGAGCGGCTGCCAGCTGTGAGCATTATTGGGGGAGTGAGGCACTGGATGGTGGCATCTCGGAGCCAGGGCTGCAGACCGCATAGACAGAGTGTGATGGCCCGACTCCAGCACCCATGTCACTCTGCCAGGGTGCCGTTCTCCCTGACTCACCTGCCTGCTCCCCCAGGGTGGTAAGGAGTATCTGATGCGAGCGCACTTCGGCCTGCCCAGCGTGGAGGCGGAGGACAAGGAGGGCAAGCCCCCCATCAGTGTCAAGTTTGAGATTCCCTACTTCACCACCTCTGGCATCCAGGTGTGTAGTCGGGTGAGGGGGTGGGGGGTTGGCCTGAGGGCTGCAGGTGGTGACATGTACCACGCCCCTCCCTAATCACCAGGCTCCACCCTCTAAGGCCCAGGCAGGAACCGCCCTGTCCCCTGAGCCTACACACTCGCGGCTCAGACCCAACATGTCACACTTAGCAGGAGCCAGAGTCCACTGAGGCCCTGCCCCTGCTTTGGGGTCACAGGAGAGTGACCTGGAGTGGCACAGTGGCTCGACCCACCCACAGCCTGTGCTCGCCCCCACCTGGAAAGAGGGTCGGGGGCCGTGGGGGGGCCTGATGTACTCAGGGCCTGGCACCTGTGCCCCCAGGTACGCTACCTGAAGATCATCGAGAAGAGCGGCTACCAGGCCCTGCCCTGGGTTCGCTACATCACTCAGAACGGAGGTAAGTCCGGCCAGCCAGGGGCTACAGCCAGGGCCCAGTGAGGAGGGGAGGAGGATCCTTACTTCTTCCATCTCCTCTCCTAGACTACCAGCTCCGGACCCAGTGAGGGGTCCTCTGAATGCCCCAGAAATAGCTGCCAAGCAGCCGGATCGAGGAGCTCTCGACTGGACCCAGCCCCCTCTGCAGCCCTCACGACCTCCCAGCCGGCTCCACTATGCCTCCAGCGGTCTCCTGAGGATGCCTTTGTCTCTGTGCCCCTCTGCATCTGATTGGGGAGGTCACTCACAGATCATTCGGGCAGGGGGGCTCCCTGGTATCCGAAAGATCAGGACACACTGGCCAGACGCTGGCCGCACGCCCGTCCACCACCAGGGTATCATGGGGCCACTGGGCACATTCTTACTGTTTATAGGTTTATGAACTTCTGTTGGTTGGTTGCTTGCTGTCTATGTTATAACAGATAACGGCATCACACAAGCATCCCCCTCCCACCCAGGAGCCCTCTCCCACGTTCCCACTTCCCTCCTCCGGACAGCCTCAAGCAGCACTTAGTGAGGGCGGATCCCTCCCTCATCTTCCTGCTCAAGGTTTACGTTCAGGGCTGGAGGCCCTTCCCCTCGAGTCTCCAGGGCTAACCTGTGCCACATCCACACCACACTCGGCCAAATCAGTGTTTGTATCCCCGGGGACAGCCGTTTCCTGTGTAAGGTCCAGGAGGGCCCTATCATACCTTCTGTGCCTGGTCCCCGCCTGCCTGTGTGCATTCATGTCATGACTTCATTAAACTCCATTCTGTCACAGTTGGCCTGCCAGCCTCCTGTCCGGCCGTGCTGTGGATGACCAGGGACAGGCCTGCGCTCCTTACAGGGCAGGACCACCAGGGTCACCCCTACACCTTCCGGCTTGGAGGAGGGGGACGGACTCAGACAAACCCCTCATGGTACCTCCTTCCCTCTTTGTGGTGGAGTCCTGGGACCTGCAGCATCAGCCATACAAAGGAGCTCACAGAGATGTGGGTTCATGGTCCACACTTGACCTGCATCATCTTGGTATGGGCCAAAACTGCACCCAACATATGAGCATAAGGGTGTAAGGCGGGGAGGTGCCTGTCTCCCTACCACAGTCCTGCGTCCTAGTACTACCGTATTCCCTTCCCTGTTCTCCCTCCCCTAGGAATTGCACACCTCCAAGGATCTCACGGGGCCACAGTGCCACCTTGGCCTACAGGCATGAATGACACCTCCTGGGCACTAGTACTAGTTCCATCCCTGCCCCACCTGGAGCCCCGCTGGCAGCAAACCCTGATGACCCACCTTCCAGGGGACCTCCTTTCCTGCTCTTCAGGGTCTTGTGGTCCACTCCCCAGAGTCCATCCCCTCATCCCATCAAAAAGATGGTGTCTTCACCATGTAACTCGGGCATCTATCCAGCAATGTTTTGGGCAGTATTGTCTGAAAACCCATTAGAATGCACAGAAAACACCATGAAACAAACGCACATAGCTGTGAGGACGAGCAAACAGGAGAGCCTGCCAGAGCCCAGAAGGCAGAGAAACTTGACACCACGGAAGCCGCATGTGCTGGCATAAGGCCTGTTCCTGGAAGCAAGTGTGGATCTGAAGGGCCAGTGTTGGGTGGAGCCGGAGCCCGGAACTTGGTAGAACGTGGTGGAGGCTCCTGCATACAGCTGGGGCCCTTGCAGGCTCACAGTCAAACTTGTAGCAAAAAAGGTGAAAAACAGCCACTGGACCAGGGAGACAAGTCATTTGTTCTTTTGGTGGCCAAAAAAAGGGGGCTCCTCCAGTCCTGTGGGTATCTACTCATTTGGAGTTACGTGTGCTGGTCTGTGCATCAAACAAGACCTCCCTGGAATGGCATCACTTCAGCCCTTGTTGCCCAAGATTGCCATGTATAAAGCCACCCTAAATCAGAGTCCCAGTGTGGTGCAATAGGATCAGCACTGGACTGCTAACTGCAAGATTGGGATTTCAAACCCATGAGCCACTTCTCAGAAACCCTATACAGGGTCGTTATGAGTCAGAACCAACTAAACAGCTCTTAACAAATATGAGTGCATACTGAAAATTACCAGGCACGTGTGAGAGCAGGCAGTAACCAGGCTGAGATTCTCACGAACTTAAGCATGAAAGTTCTAGCAGAGTGGATAAGGCAAAGAAGGTCTACATACAAGAGGCTGGGGGCTAGAATAAGAAGGCCCAATGCATTTTGGTACAAGTCAAAGTACTGAGAACCAGAGACCAAAACTAGCGCTGAGTATAGACGCAATGATGATGACGGACCCGATGAGCTGCCAGCGTCCTGCAAAACAGCTAAGTGATGGGCCTCAGTGCTGTTATAAGGTCTCTCTACTACTTGGAAGAGAATAGGCTTAAAAAAGAATAAAAAATGATTTTCAAACCAGTGGGAAGAATTTAAAGAAACCAATAGGAAGGAGAAAGAAGAATCGGGAAACTCAGGGTGTTCCAAAATTTTAGGGTCACCTCTTTAGTTTTAAATAGCACTTAGGATTGTGCTAAAATGTTTGTGCACCCCACTCCACATCCACTGCCCTCCCCCAGTAGAAAGCAGAAAGTAAGATTTTAGGGATAAATTCAAGCACAGGTAAATTGACATGTAAGTGAAACCAACCTCATTTACGGTACTGTCACACTGGTTTTAAAACACCAAGTCTGGTTCTGCCCTGTTTATAACAACATCCAAAACAAGCGGGTAGCAAGGGCTAAAAGGAACGCTGCTGCTTTTTTGAAATAAATCACCTGGTCTTCTAAGTCAGTCTCAACTGGAAGTACCACTGAAACCTGTTCATCACAGCAACAGAAATCTCCGTGGACAGACAGGTCTGAGGTGCCTTGGGTGGGAATCAAACCTGTGTCTCCAACGTAGATGGCAAAAACTACCACTGACCCAACACTGTCCTCCATTGTAGAGCCTTCTGCCATTGAGTCTGCTGATTCAGAAGCCCCTTAGAGCAGAGTAGAACTAACTGCCCCTTTGGGTTTTAGAGACTAAATCTTTATGGGAACAGATCAATCTTGGCTTTCTCCCTGGGAGTGGCTGGTGGTTTCAAACTGCTGACCTTTCAGAGAGCAGCCCAGTGAGTAGTCTGCTGTGCCACCAAAGTGCTTCTCCCTATAGTATGTCATAAAATATAAAGACAAGGGAAGGACTCCAAATCCAGCTAGTGATGCCCTCAGAAAGGAGGTGTGAGGCTTGTTATAGAGTCGCTGATGCTTTTGTAACGGCCTCAGACCACTCAATAGTAATTGTGAATCAGATCAGGTCTCTCCTGCTCAAGATTCTTCTATGGCTCCTCAGTACCCTTAAAGGAAAGCCCTCACCTCTCACCATGCAGATCTGAGTCCCAGCCCTCTGTGCTATTGACTCCCCTGTGCCTTCTTCCTATCTTCTCTGAACCTTTGCCCACATACAATCCCTGCCAGCTTCCCCCCTTCCCTTATCTGGCTGACAGCTAGGCTTCAATTCTAATATCCCTCCTACCGTGGCCATGTCACCTTGTCACCACATAGAGTAGTCATTTTTCCCAAATTTGTTTGTGTCCCTATTTTCCTAGAAGCCCTCTCTCCCTAGTCTGGTTTGACCCTGTCCCTAGAACTGGGACCTGAGCACATGCCGCTCGTCCAACCATGGCCACCAGGGGGCACTGCTGAGCTAGGTTCCAGGAGACCGTGTAGGGCAGACCTGGGGTGAAGGGGTCACAGCCCTGTCTTGAATCCTGGGGGTGGGAGAAGTCACCCTGCCCACCTGGCTATGTGGTCTTGAGCAGGCTCCCACCCTTTCTGGGTGTGGGGCTTCCACATGACATTTCATTATAAGAGTCAGCGGTTCTGTTATTGTCAGTAAGATACTGGTGATGGTGGTGAAGTGCTGTGGGGTCGGTTCCAACTCAGAGCTACTGTATAGGGTTTCCAACGAACAGCTGGTAGGTTTGAACCACCAACTTGTGGTTAGCAGTCCAGTGCTACACCAGGACTCCGAGATCCTGGTAGATGGTGCAGAGACCCCAGCACAACTCACCAACTGATTGGTATTTGTTTATATTGCGGTGAGAGTTACATGACAAAAAAATTCAACATGAACAATTCAAGTGGCATTTATACATTCATTATATGCACCCCACCTCTGTCTTATTCCACAACATTCTCATCACCCTAAAAGGAAACCTGCACCACTTCCCCCACCCCTGGTAGTGATGGTTGTGTGTCTCCGAGTTGGTTCCAGCTCATAGTGACCCTGCATAGAGTTTCCGAATCGAAAGCTCATCTTTCTCCAGAGGAGCAGCTGGTGAACTCAAGCTGCTGACCTTGGCGGTTAGCACTCCAGCTCATAATCTACTACACTAGCAGGGTTCCCTCAGTCCTTGTTTAATGCCATTGAGTCCGTTCTGATTCAGAGTGACCCTATATAGGGCTTCCAAGGGGCGGCTGGTGACTTTGAACTGCTTTGTGATCCATAGCTTTATCCCTCAGCGCCACAACAGGACTCCCAGCCCTTGGCAGCCACTAATCAACTCTGGTCTCCATGCATTTCTCTATTCTAGATAGTTCACAGAAATGGAATTATGTTGTTTGTGGCCTTCTGTATCTGGCTTCACTCAGCATAATGTGTTTCGAGTCATCCACGTTACAGCATGTATCAGAACTTCACTCCTCTGGCTGAGTAATAGTCTATTGTATCTTTTATTTATCCATCATCTGGTAGTGGGCACTTGTGTTGTTTCCAGTTCGGGTTAATTGTGGACAGTGCTGCTGTGATCATCCGTGCCTAAGTGCTTGTTTCTCTTTTCTATTTTCTGAGGATATACAACTAGGGGTGGAATCGCTGGGTCATACGGTGACTTTAACTCATCAAGGAGCGTCATCATTTTTTAATAAAGCAAAGTGCCACAGCCCCTGACCACACTGGGAATATTCTGCCTTAAAGTGTCTGGCTAGTTCAGTGAAGTTAAGTATGTTCATAATGTTGGCCAGCAATCACCATTCATCATTTCCTGATTTTGCCATCATGCTAAACAAGCTCAGTGGCCCCTAAGTTGTACATGTTTTTAAGCTACTGATACTTTGCTTAT